CAAGTAACACGACTCAATAACTGTTTAGTCGTCAATGGTACACAATTGTATGAGTGTCAAAAACTCCGAGCTTTGCAATTTACAATGTCTAAGCTAATCGAGCAAAGAATTTGCATTAAATTTTGCCAAAAACTTGGCTTCACACGTTCCGAAACAATGGTCATGCTCCGTAAAGTTCATAGTAATGAGTTTATGAATGAGACACAAATAAAAATGTAGTTTAAACGGCTTAAAAAAAAGCGCCATGTCTTAGTGGACAATAATCGTTTCGACAATTTTTCAACGTTGAGAACAATGGAAAACATAGAACGTGTGCGAGCTGCAATCAACGAAAATAATCGTTTGATTATACAAGAATTAGAAGAGGACCTTAAAATCCCAAAATCTAGCATTCACAAATTTTGACTGAAGATCTGAGAATGAGTCGCGTGTGTATGAAACTTGTTCCACAAGTACTCACACAAGAACAAAAAGATTTTCGAGTTGCAGTTTCCGAATCCATCAGAAAGAAAGAAGGGCTATTATACTGACGATGGAATATGGGTTTACGAGAATCCTAACACAAAAACACAAATGACGAAAAATAAGTTTCGATTCATGAAAGCGTGCCAGAATCGGAGTAACCTGAAAGTAATGCTCATTGTTTTCTTTGATCAGAAAGGTGTTGTACATCACGAATATGTTCCACAAGGTCGAGTAATAAACAGAGAATATTATTTGGAAGTTCTTAAACGATTGCGTGATGCAGTGAAGCTGAAACGAAACGATCGTGTTTGTGGAAAAGTGGGAATTGGGTGCTACACCATAATAACGGATCTAGGTATTCATCTGATATTGTTCAGGACAATATTGCCAACCCCTGTATAGTCCAGATACAGCCCCATGCGACTTTTGGTTATTTTCTAGGTTGAAAAATTTGTTGAAGAAGAAAAGATTTAACAATGTTGAAAAAATAAAATTACATGTGACGAAGAAACTTAGCTATAAAAAAAAAAGAAGAGTTTCAAGAGTCAATAAAAGTAGACTCTTTGAAAAGTAGACTATTTGAAAATTTCAAATAACAAGAATAAAAGGGGCTAATGAGAGTATATTGATTGATGACAGTGAGAGTGACCACTGTTCCATCCATCCATGGCCTTTTTAAAAGTTTTGCGATTCTACTACTGAAGATGGTCCGGATGTAGGCCGAAACGTCTAGTATTATATTAATTTCCTTTGTTCTTTTTTTACTACAATATATCTTATATTTTATCGCACCAATTACAGCGAATATACTCTCATTAGCCACTCTCATTCTTGTTATTTAAAAGTTTCAAGATTGCTTCTAGAAATGGGTGGACCGTTGGAAGAAGGTTGTTACTTTAAAAGGAAACTACTTTGAAGGCGACATTGTCTATGACATTCCGGTTTGTAAGTAGTACAAAACTAATTATTTAATATTTCATTTATACATCTTTATTCGATACTAATATGGAGTATAAATATCACATATTAATACACTTCTTTAATTCATATCGTGATTTTATGTTTGTGATGTCGACGCGACAATGCGACGTGGCGTGTACATTCGCCGTCTCGCCGATGTCGTACCCAACATCGAAGATATATCTTTGCGATAACGTCAACGTATAGCTCGACGAATCATCATATTGAGTATCCGGTTGATGTATATTAAAAATGTTAAACGCGTTTGATAATATCACGGTCTCACACAATGTGAGATAACTGTTATTCTATTTATTTAACAAATCTGTAACGAGCTTTTCTGTAAATTTGTACCCGCGAAACCCTGTTCCACGGCGCAAAAGACGTATCGGCAATTCCCTTCGAGAAAATGATGATGAAAGGTGAAGGGGATGGAAGCAAGAATGCACTCTGTGCACGAATCATTGCGATTATACAAACTGATCCGTTAGACGCGTGTTGTCAAATATTGTGGCAATTGAGTACTGCATGATGCGTATGATGTATCATTTTATTTCTTATTTAACACTAGAATCACACTAACAGTATTCCGCTAGAATTGTCGAGTGATGCTAATTTGATAATTTCTTTGTTTTCGCTTAATGAAGATTTAGTTTTATATTATTTGTATATATTATAATATAATATAATATTATATTCACATATTTTCCATATTCGATATTGTACATTAAAAAGAAAAAAGGAAAAAATTAAAATGGTTGGCAAAGCCAGAATGGCATTCTCTTGATTTCTATAATACTATTCTATAATATATTCTATAATATATTTGATGAATAATAAGGATCAGGTGATACATCATACATAAAACAGAATGCACCTATTAGCCAAGAACAAATCTTATATATAAATGATTAGGAGATTTATAGTGCAACTTCGCGTTTAAGATCGTTTTGAGTACGATTTTAGTCATGTCATTGAATATATAATTTTAAAGACGTGACATGTAAAACGATTTTTTTAAATAAAATTGATCAATACCATCCTATATGTTTGTACATGTGTGTTGTGAGAGATTAAGATGAGACTTGCAAATTAAATTTAATTATATTGACTAATTTCAAGGAAGACAAAGAAAGATCGTTAATATGTTTTTATTGTTTCGTTAAATGCCATAATATGAGATGAAATAGTAAAAGTAAACTAAGAAATAAGGATAGTTTTTTATACGTGTATGACACAGTTTTATGTACCTAATTAAAATCTATTTGTAATTAAAATTCGATCATGTTGAAATGATCGTTAATGCAACATGTTATGTGACTTGATATCTGTAATTTATTCTTTCTAATGAACTGAAACGTTACAAATGGATCATATCTGTTTTAAGAAAGCAAGATATAAATATTTTGAAAGTTATCATGTTAAGAGAAACGGACTTTCTTTCTATCTGACCGCCATCAATCTTTCTAAATAGAAAAAATATTTTATTGTCATTATTTATATTTAATATTTTATACAATAGTCCATATCTTATATGGACAATATTGATTAGACAATATATTATATTTAATATCTTATGTATCATATATGCGCTTGTCGTTAAGTTCAATTAAATTTTACTGCACAAATCTTGTTTAATTTTAATAATTAAATTAAGTTGAAGTAAGACATAATTTGGTTAATTAATAACTTGGTTGATTAATTATTATAAATAATATATGAATTCTGTTGAAAATCTCGCGGTCATTGGCCTAAACAAAGAGATTATTTTGAAGAATTTTTCATAAATTTTTAAATTTGTCTGAATTATAAATAAAAGTAAACGAGCGTGACACGCCAGATTTGTTGTTTCCCATCAAGTTCCCGTTCGTTCGGTGCCCTTTCGCTGAACTTCCGTAGAATCCGTCCGTCGACTGCATCGAAGTAGTAGGGGGACCACTTTGATTACTCGTCCCCACCCCCGTCCTCTACACGCGAAACTTATCTACAGTAAAGTTGGTGAAGACGCTTACGCGCGTTAATTAATCGGGACGCTGACGGTGCGCCGATTAAGCTACGCGACGTCTAATTATAGCGGCTGGCTAATCAGGTCGTGATACTAAGATTTTATTTACGTGTGAGGACGTGTATATTGCACCGTGTTAATAAGTGCCGATATTACGAGGGAACGATATAGCGCGCGCATGGCGTTTCACCACCACCACGTCGCGCCGTCGTCCTTGAGGCTCCCGATGAACGACTATTTTCTAGCTCGACAAGGTCGACCGATCGACGCTTCTATTGCGGTATATGTTTATCGGTTTATCAATGTCATCGTTTTTCGCTAACGGTTGTTTTGCAGGATTCGGCCTTCTAGTTAGAAAATCTTAGGAGTTTGTTCAAGTTTTTCGTGTTGCGCGATTTCTTTCGAACAAGATGAGAGCAAGGAGAAGACTTTGGTTTGGAAATTCCAGGTGGGACAATCCTTTAATAACGTATACCACGCATCGAGAAAGAAAGGGAGAAGGGGAAATGTTAAGTAATCGAATTCTTCGGAAAAAACACGAGTAGATTTGATTGAAAAATATATAACAATCACAATCGATTATTACCCAATGCACTTGGATTTATTGATAACCAAGATAATGCGTGATGTTTTTACAATACTTGTTCCAATAGTTGGTCTATTAACTGCCATGATTATCGGGGTATACCTGACTTTTCAGTGACGCCCTAATATACGATAATACATAAAACCGCCGACTAGACAACATGTTAACAATGCAAGTGAAATATTTCATTTTTTTTGTGTTTGGAAGAAAATATTATATACCAAAAATATTGTTGAACCTATTCTGTATTATTATATATTGCATCCTCAATAAACTTGTATTCAGAAAGTCGGAAAAAAACAATTTCCTAAATAACTATATATTGCATGCTTGATCTTCTCGACGAGAGACATTTCATATAAAAAAACCTCATGATGTTTCTATTATATATTACTATCGTCGTAATATTACTTCTATGGTCACGTATCATTTTATTGTTATATTTAATGCTATACTAAACTTTGTGTGTGAGATCCAAGTTTTCTTGTTAAAAATAGTCACTTGATACAATCGATTTGACATTTCAAGATTTTCAATTTTCTGATTTTCTTGACGTTCATTTTGAGCGTCTAAAATTTGTGACAGAGTTCTATTTATAATTCCATGTACGATCATTACACGAAGAGTATTTACAGTACAAAATGCATATTGTACAAAATGTATATTATAAAATATACATTGAATTTACTTCAGAAGATCTGTAATTTGTGTTAAATTTTACGATCGATGAATTTCTATTCGATAGATGAATTCTATTTCATTTTATTTATCACATTATATTATTGTATAATATATCTTACACACACATACACATGTCTTTATGTATTTTTGATTCTTCTTTGATGTATATAAAAATTTTTTGTATTATACAATACTTGAAATTATAATTGAAATTCTGTCTTGAATTTTGATACAATTCTGACATGAAATTCCGAAGTAGATTTGTAAAGATTTCTAAATGAAAGCATCGTTGTGTGTTTATAGCTTAAACAAGATGCATGCGATGGAGGGTGCGACCGAGAGCAAGCGAAAGGTGGATACCGCAGAGAACAACAAGGCAACCAGATCGTCGCCGTCACCGAAAGTACCTCAGAGTCAGCAAAACGGCGCCGCTCTTCCGGAGGAAACAGCGGCGGCACCGACGGCATCGGTGGGTCGCCCACGCAAGAAGAAAGATGAGTCGCGTTGCGACGCCGAGACTTCGAACACTTCGAAGGGCAGACAACTGCTTGCGAGTACGTCGCGACGAAGTGCGACGACTCCGAGTGATGTTGTGCAACCACGTCATGTTAAAGCAAGGTCTGAGCCGATTGAGATTAGAAAACGGAAGTCCACTCTGCAGGTCTCACCGGGAAATCCTCCCAAGAAGTTTTGCGACAACTACACACGAGAAGAATACATTTCGAGTATTGTAGGCGATAACAACGAAAGCATCGAAGACCTTGTGGCGAAAGCCGATCAATTACGAGCCGATATTTTGGTGAGTATTTGAAACTGCGATCTCTCATGAAGAGCGAATAAACTATTCTTTCTTTAAACATTTACGGTATATTTTATTAATTTTTATCTGCAGACACTTGAAAACTTAGCACATGCCAAAGAAATGGAATGGAATGAAATTCTGAGGAAGAGGAAACTGAAAGAGGAGGCATACCTGAGGCTCGAAAGGAAGATACAAACGACAGCCTACATGGAAAATGATAATCAGTTGTCGGAAACTTTACAGCAACGATCGTTTATGAGTTCGGCTGAATGGGAGAATAACGGCAGCAATTCCATATCGAAGGAGAGATCTTTCGAATCTAAAGAGGATCTAGGTGAGAGATCTTCGGATTCATCAGGTTCGAAGAAAGAGAAAACCCCAAAAGCTAGTTCGCAACAACGAGTGACTCCTCCGAAAACCAATGGCGAGAGCAATCGTGAACAGAATGAAGTGTCGAGTCCGGAAAGTCGGCAGATCGGAGAAGGCCGTCAAGGTGCAATAGTGGATGTCAGATCCATTATTGCCGATCACAGGCTTAAGCATCCAGAAACCGTACCAAGGAGGTAAATTAATTATAGAAATGACAGAATAAGAGAAGAAAAAATATGGCTTATCAAAATTTATATAATAAACGATTCAACAAAATAATTTTTATAAATGTGTGTTTGAAAAATAAAATTTACGATAAATTAACGCAATATGGGTGCAATATAATTTTTGATAATATTCGAGAAATATAATTTGAACATAATTTCTTATATTAGAATCGATTCCACAATATTATTTGCAATCGCTACTTTTTAACTATTGAAACATATTTTTATAGCAAATATAATTTTGGATAAGGAAATAAGATTCTGATTAATAATTAAAGAAACAAATTTATTTTTACTATGTTTGTCTTACAGATTTAGCTGAATATACATCTTGTTTAATAAATAATTGAGGCTACATTAATAATATGCAATATTTGATTATTCTAACTTAAATAGCACTAAGAAATATGCTTCTACGAAAACAACTTCATTTTTCGATACTTAAGCATGATTTCTAATTGTAGAGGTCGACGATTGAGAAATTCGAACGTAAATATCAATCTCGGTGCTGGCGGTGCCATGGTTGAAACTGGACACAATGCTGACTCAAGACCGTCTAGCACAGAATCGTGCAAGAGCAACCCAAGCACGAACGATACCATGAACTATAAAGACATGCTAGTACAATTTGCTAAGCTAAGTCAACAAGGTAGTAACATCAGTTTTCTTAAATTTTTTAATTGATTAAATTTATATCGTAAACGTTAAAGACAGGCAATTTGCAATTATTAGATTTTGATAATCATGAAACTATAACTATGCTTTAACATTATGTTTAGGTGAACCCGTCAAGGTACCGCAGAATTATCCAGATGTGACGCTTCATCCTGTGACACCTCCGTCTGCCCAGAATACATCTCAACCAACCGGCTCGTTGCTCCACGGAATTCTAACGAAAGCTCAAACGCCGAGATCCACGACTTTTTCACCTACTTTAGCAAGATTACTCACTGCGCCTGAAAGAGAAAGGAATTCTCCGGCGGCCACAGCAGCGGCGGTAGCGGTAGCGGCAACGTCAGCGTCTATGTCGCAGCCAAGCGCCACAACTCAACACCTTTTGCAGACATACCAAGGCTCTAATATGGTTTCTATAAATGATCTCTTGTCTTCTTCCAAGGTTCTTTGCTTTTTTTTTCTAATTATTATTATTTTCGTAATTTACGTTGGCATAAAATACAATTTTTTTTTTGAAAGATTATTACACCATTCGAATATCCAGTGTAACTTGATTTTATATAAATAAATAGGAATAAGAGCATATATATATATATAAATAATATAAACGATCTAGAAAAGTTAATGAAAGTTTTGGGAGATAAAAGCTTAAAACACTGGTCAGGCGTGAGTAGTTAGGCGAAAAATTAATTTTTCCTCTTTTTTTAAAATAATGTAAGATATTTTTTCCAGGCTCGTACAGAGATAACTATAACCCCTGTCGTTAACACTCCCGCGCAATCTCATTCCAATGATTTAATTCAAGTGGTAAATTTCTTTTTCAATTTATTAATAACACGTTCTCTTGTGCATGTTTGACCATTCCGTTGAACTTTTAGGAGGATGTAGAGGATGAAACAACAGTAATTGATGATAGGAAAGGAAACTCAGTAATTGGAAGAGATGGTAAACAAATAGTGAAGGACAATCCACCTTCACCAAACGCCCCACCAAAATGTCAGGGATGCATAATTCGACCCGCACAGTTTGTTTGCGCCGGATGTGGAAATCAGTGGTATTGTAGTCGTTCATGTCAGGTACATGTCATGTCAAGTGCACAGTTACGTATAATGTATCATTTTTACATATTTACGATTTACGTTAATGATCATTAATAATAATAAATTGTATTTTTTTTTTTAATATCGACAGCTTGCTGCATGGGCAACACACTCCGATCATTGTCCGCCAGAACCCGAGAGTAGCAAAACAAAGACCAACGTTTAACTCCCGAGATCTCTGCATGCCCGATGTATACAATGATATCAGGCGAGAGATATCAGCATAACTGAGTATAAATCTAGTCAAGGAAGGAGGTTTAAGGATATAATTCATATTGATCGACAAATGAGATGAAGAGAGAATCGAAAAGGGATTATCGTATTGATTTAATATCGGAATGATCCTTGTTGAAGCAAATAGATGATGTCGTCCTCTTTATCACAAGCATTTACTGATCTCCCATCTTAAAGGAGGTTTCACGCTATCACGTTCTGTTTTCTTCAGAACGAATTCGTGAATTTTCTTGCACTTTACTCGAGCTTTAGATGAAGAAAATCGCTCTTCTTTCGATGACGAAAATTAACGGGATAATCGATGCCATTGGTTAACGAGCCTCGTGTGTTATGTATAATTCATTTTCTTTTAGACTTTATTACATACGCTAGTCGAAAAATTTTGAATGCTCAAAAAATGAGCAAGAAAGAGAATAAGTAATTCCGTGGCGCTGAGAGTGGAGCACAATACTAAGTAATGCGATGCTGTATATAATTTTATACAATTTAAGAGTTATTCAGCGTCGGATTTTAGAATGTCGATTAATCGCGTGCCATGTGTAAGATTGGGGGCGGATTGGCCATCAGCCCTCTGAAAGATATCAAGAGATACTTTCTGCTTACTCTTTTTATTTATTAGAAATTATTTTACAGAAAAATTGTAGAAATTGTGAATTTAATTCCACAGCAATGTAAAATTAATATTTGTCATAATAAACGAAGTAAATTTGTTATAAAAACACGTTACTTTGTTATTATAACAAATTTTCAGTTGTTATTATAACAAATTTTCAATAAAATTACTCACGATTTACTATGACCTTTATATTGCTAGATATTGTCTGCAAATGATTAATTATTTCAAAATATGTATTCACGTAGATAGTTTTTTCCGCTTATTTAATCCGCCCCTATATGTAAGATTCATTTTCCATAATTGACATGGACACTCAAGGCGAATAAATAACTCGACCATTTTTTTACATGTAGTGTGATATGGATTATATTCTATTTTCTTCTCCTTCGTTTTACATTGTAGGCATAAGAAATTGCTGGACAGAGCATTTAATTAATAAATAAGAAATGAATACTAAGTACTCCATATTAAATATTCAGTATATTTACATATGTGTTAAACAGTAACGAATGTATATAAATATAAAAATCCTGTCATTTTATTATAATATATTATACATACACATATATAAATATTATTCCAGCTTAGACCAAATTACATGTAACGTTTCTATTGTAATATGTACTACTCCAATAACGTAACAATATAACACGTGTTATGTTACAGTTATATTGTTTATTGGAACATTATAACTAATAAGTACGTTATTCGTAATTTAGATTTTGTTGGAATATATTGTTATATAAAAAAATATATGCATTATATCAATTCTATTTTATTCGATAAAGCATAAAAATAAAATATTCTCTTTTTTAATAATACTTTTATATTCTCTTTTTTCTTTCATTTTCTCTTTCTTTCTTCGTATAATTTCGGTTCCTTCAAAATCTATTTTTTCAAAAATTTAATATAAGCTCTGTCCAGTTATTTTTTTAACCTTCGTGATTTACATAAATTTCACGCATAAAATGCAGACTGCGTGAACACAATTCAGGCCTGCGTAATTGAGATAAATGTATCACACATACAACATTTTATATTTGTTACCAATGCATATGTACATGTAAATTTAACAAAAAAAAAACATTAGATTTAGTATAGCAGTAAGATGTTTTTTTATTCCATTGGTGACATATTCGCATATTTTACATTTTTTTAAATTAATATGTTACCCATACGATGACTGTCCCTGACATAATCTGTAGCCCAAAGTTCCTACAGGTACATACAACATATATATTATATATATATATATATATGTATATGTATAAATATATATATATTTTTCCCAATTACAAAACAAACCAAAATAAAGTTTTTAATCGTATTCTCTGCATATATCATTTTATTACACTTTCAATAATGAAATCATACATTTTCAATGTCCTTGTAATCACATTTCGCACAAGTTATTTTATTTTTAACACTAAAATCAAAAATTAAAACACTATACTACTTGGGAGAGGAAAAACGCGTTAACAATTTAAAAAACTTAATCTTAAGATGACTTTGTGATTTGAAAAAGTTTACATTTAAACCAATTAAAAGACACATTTAAATGACATTAATGTTACAATTAATAAAATATATTTTATACATATCTTATTCATTTAAAATTTATTTTTTTACATGCTTATGAATTGAATAAGATGTAAATATCTTATATTTTTTACATATCTGACATGTATAAAAGACATAAATGTTTAAAAGATTTAATAATAAGATTACATTTAGAACACAGGAACATTTTTAAAAGTCAATAATAAAACATTTTCCAAATAATCGTTGATAAACATTGGTAAAGCAGGACTCCTACCGTTTTATTTACAGTATTATATGCACCCTTTCATCAACTTGTGCACTTCATGACGTGACCCTGCAGTCGTATTGTCTCCTTACTCATGGATGGAGATAAAATGACAGAATCACTCGACAGTGGCGGACGCGTTTCGGTTCGGATGCTTTCAATTGTATATTTTTGAAAGTGCCGACTTTGACTTGTGTATAACTTCCCCCTTTTGAATGTTCCGCGAATTTGGATTCGTTCGTTCGTCCTGATTGCGGCGTGACGACACTGTCGGAGCTCGGAGCACAAGCCCGGTCCGGTGTCCGAGCGAGCTACGCTATTTTCGCGGGTATTGCATCACCTTTTGTATTTGTATGCCAGACGTCAGACGTGATCTAGGTATCAATCGTGTAACTTTTTCTCTAGAGCGGAAACGTGAAAAGTGGAAATTTTTATGAATGTACGAACATACAAAAAATGTTCATTTTTCACGTTTTCGCCCTAAGAAAGTTATATGATCGATACTCTGGCCGTATTGTTTACTCTAGGGAAGGTTAATGGCAGAAGTTATTAACAATTAAAAAGAATGGAGGGTAGAAATAAGAAGATAAGGAACACCTAGCCTAGTTGGCACAGTAACATAACCTCAATGTAGTTAATTTTACGGTGTGCCTTGTTTTGTTAACACTGTATTTTGACAATCATGACGAAATCGATCATTAATGGCAAATATATCGCGCTAATTATTGAAGAGCATCTGCAGGAAGTTTATCTCGGAAATCATGTTTCCGATGTCTATTCCACTTTTGCACGTTAGCCGGTCGTTGACAACTACCGCGAGGTCCAAGCGGCGTGTCGTCGTGACCGGGATAGGAACCGTGTGTCCCTTGGGAGTCGGGACGCGAAATGCTTGGGAAGTTCTTATCGACTCTAAATGTGGAATTACGCGACTTTCCGAACCGGATTACGACAAGCTACCATGCAAAGTAGGTGAGCAATTTTTAACAGTACTACCGATACTACCACAAACATGTACAGTTTGTTCCACGTACAATTATTCTATATGTACACAAGATTTCTGGTATAAATTCTGATACTTAATAATTTTTATAATTGTCATTGCTCTCAAAATTGTATTAGGTCTTTCTACACGGTCAGTAATACTGTCAGTATCAACGAATACTGACAATATTATTGATTGCGTGTGGTTAATATTAATGGATTGACGTAGAATACTGACAATGATTTGGATTTAAATACATGCTTTTTCCTTAAGATCCATGTCGCCATAGATAATAATATACATCGAATCACGTCAAACTGAAGTGAAATATTATTAATAATACCTGATCGTATAAGATTGTAAAAACTAATGCATACTGTTAGTAATACTGACTCAGTATTACTGACCGTGTAGGGAGGCCTTATGTAACAATTTGTTTATTTATTAGCCGCATTGGTGCCAAAGGGAAACTCTTCTCATGAGCTTAACATTGATTCCTACTTCACAAAAAGTGAGTTACGCACAATGTGCCCTGCTACTGCATATGCGCTGATAGCTTCGGAAGAGGCATTAATAGATGCAAATTGGAAACCAACTGATGAAGCCGATAAACGTGACACTGGAGTCTCGGTAGGAATCGGCATGATAGACCTAGTGGACGTGTGCATGACATATGAAGCTCTGAAAAAAGGATACAGCAAAATCAGTCCGTTCTTCGTTCCAAGAATATTGCCGAACATGGCTGCTGGTCAGATCAGTATCAAGTACGGTTTTCGTGGACCCAACCATTCAGTATCGACTGCATGTGCGACGGGAGCACATGCAATTGGTAAATAAACAGCGAAAGCAACAGACTGGGCGTAGCGATTACATAATTTTTTAAATAATAAGATAGGAAGCCAGAAAAAGCCAACATAGATGTTAGTACGTAACATGGATTTATTAAAATGGCACTATACATAATCAACAAATGTAATTCCCACAAAAAGTTTGTTAACATTATATTATTATAATTACAGATTATACTAACAGCACTAAGGAGAACCAACAATGCTGATTGAACGGTTTACGAATTATATTTGTTGATTATGTAAATGTCACTGTAATAAATCTGTATTGCGTATTAATATCCTCATTAGCTCTTTCTGGATTTCTAAAGTCTTATTTTATTTTCAGAGCCGACTTGCATATACTTTTATTTTTAATTATTACATGATTTTTTTCTTACGGCCGAAATATGAAAAGTGAAAAACTTCTCCATTATCTTCAATGATATTTTCATATTCTCGCTTTAGAGAAAAAAAATTGTATGATCGTTTTTATTAACGCTCTTTTCGTATCCAAGAAATCGTTCTAATAAATGATATCTTCCAGGAGATGCATTCCGCTTTATCCGTGGTGGCGAGACAAGTGTGATGGTATGTGGTGGTGCTGAGGCATGTATCAGTCCATTGGCTATAGCCGCATTTTGCCGGCTACGCGCGTTGAGCACATCGAAGAACGACATGCCACGGGAGGCCTCACGGCCCTTCGATCGTGATCGCGATGGTTTTGTTATGGGCGAAGGCGCCGCGATACTGGTTCTGGAGGAGCTAAATCACGCGCTCGCCCGGAACGCGTCCATCTACGCCGAGGTGCTGGGCTACGGTCTGTCTGGCGATGCATCACACATAACGGCACCCAGCGAGGATGGCACCGGTGCGCTGCTGGCAATGGATCGGACATTGAAGGACGCCGGCATCGAGACCTCGGAAGTGACGCATGTAAACGCGCACGCCACATCCACGCCGCTGGGTGATGCGATCGAGGTGAAAGCGATCGAGTCATTGATGGGCGAACACAGTAAAAACGTGACGATAACGAGCACAAAGGGGGCGCATGGTCATCTGCTGGGTGCTGCCGGCAACTTGGAAGCCGCCTTCACGATCCTGACGATCAAGGAGGGCGTCATACCACCTACGTTGAATTTACACAACTTAAATATGGAGACAGATCTAAGATTTGCGCCACATACGAAAATGAAATGGAACACAACAAAGCGTCGGACGGCCCTGAAAAATGCGTTTGGCTTCGGTGGAACGAATGCGTGCTTATGCTTCACACAATACGTCGACTAAGTTCAAGAGGGAATCATCATATCATAATCGCTCTTGAGATATTTACAAAAGGATTCAACGATGAACTTTAAAAGATGAAGATTTCTAAAGTACATGGAGAAGAAAAATTATTATTTTAAAAAATGAAAAAAAATTATATTATATTGCAATCTTCATTAGTTTGAAAAAGATACAGCATATGTCCATAAAGATGCAAACGTCTAAGAGGAAAAAGAAGAAAAGATGTCAATTATCCGATCAAATCTAATTTGAAGTTACAAATACAATATTGATAGAATTAATTATTAATCATTCCTTGTAATATTCAAGGATAAATACATAAAATCCAAAAAAGATAATATGGATTCTTGACGTTTTCATTTCAATTGATAAGAAAGGAGGCACTGTTCCTGTAAATATACACTGATATGTAAATATGTATAAAAAATCTAAGAGAAGCAAATTCGGTGATGAATTAAATTTTACACAACTAATTACCAGTAGATAGAGCGGCTTAAATATTTTTAATAACTTTTATGCAACATACAATATATATGTGTATGAGTTTACGACATAATTCTTTTTATAGAATATTTTTACAGTGCGTGTAATAGAAGTTACACAGAGAGGATATACATCGGAATAATAAAATATATGTATATGTATATTATAATGGAATGCAACATTGATTTTAATATTAAGATTCCGACAAAATTATATCGCATCTCATTTTGTTACAACATTGACACGAATTCACCATAGTCATATCGCCGCATAAACAGTCTTGAAAATAAAAATTTTCAAGAAAATACAATACTTTTCAAATCACTGAAAAACTTGTCTTTAACAACTTGCATTTACTGCGGAATCAGATCTGCCATATTTAAACGGCCAAGGCATGTTCATTCAAAATATCTACTTATTTGCTTAAATTGCAAAGATCTATACAATCAATTTCAAGATATACATCAATATACATCAATTTAAGTTGATTCGTATACTAGTTTTATGGTATTTCAATTTACGTGTGTATTCTGTACTTTTTCTCAAAGTCGACGTTATTGTTTAACTGTCAGATATGAAACTATTTAATCTCCCAGTATTTTTTATTTTTCAAATGCAATTTTCTGCATGTAGAGATAAATAGTATTATTGTATAATATTTTTGGCTTCTTAATTACATATATGCAGCATTTTATTCACATCAGGTCGACTTCGAATGATAACAGTTTCTTTAAAATACATCTATTACATTCGTGTCTCACTACCGACAGTAAATTAAAGTAAAAAAAAAAAAAAACAAAGAAAAAGATGGAGATATATTACCATAGGTAGGAATTCTTAATGAAGAATGCTAAGTGGTTTCTGATGGCTGCACAACATAGCAAAACGTTCTCTAAGTATTTGCCGGAGTTCTAGCCGTTTCTCCGTGAGTTGACATACTCTTGACTTAAATTCTAATACTTCCTCCACTGGAATATAACTCTCCTTCTCATCGTCGTCAGAAAAACAGGAATCCTAAGGACCAAACAGTTGTCATACCGAAATTAAGTTTTTTTTTTTCTTTATTATAGAGAAAACGAATTCTTAAATGTTTAGACTGTCACATCTAAAATTTACCTTTAACATTTGCATAAGTGTTGGACCTTTCTTTTGTAATAAAGAGATGCTAGAATTGGAATGATTAAATTTATCATGACAAGTCCCTTCATGATCACACCATTCATCATTACAAGCTACTTCAGAACCTTCCGGTGTGCTAGGAAGAGAAGAACTACTGATATTATGTTCGGAAGAGTATCCACAATCTTGAGACGATTGTTCGCTTGAGGTGTGGTTTTTTCTCTGGGATATTTCGAAACGTTTCTTCATTACCATCCACGTAGTGTATTTGTTTTCATTCGGTTCCGTTATCCACGCATCTACCAGTTCATTTGTCATGGAATTTTTACAATTATCGTCATAACGCCACTGACTTTCACCGATTTTCTCACTCTCCTTAGCATGAAAAAAAATTGAACAAAATTTTATTCTAGAAAACAACACATCTGTGACAGTTGTATGAAAAATTTACAATTGTAGTTACCTTACACGACTCGCAAACATCAGATGAATCCTCCTGAGATAATTGTTTACAAGGCGTACTATTTTGCTTCGACTGATTTGTATTAAGATTTTTCTTTTTTTCAGAATTCTTTTTAACTTTCTGTGAACCCTTTTTCACAGGGAATGCTAGTTCTGTCTTATTTTGCGATTGTGATATACTATGTGTTTTTGACTTCTTTAAACAATCTGGACATTTACACGTCGGCGGACCTTTGCTTTTTGGATCTAAGACCTGCAACTAGAGCAAAAGAAAGCGTTAATATACAGAGGTTGCACATGTGATATATAAAATCTAGTAAGTCTCATTACTTTATGTCGATTGATGTTCTGCGTCGTTGGCTTTGATTCTACACAGGTACAGGGGGAATCACTTTGTCTCTCATTTGAACACTATGATAAAATATACAGCTTAGCCACGTGAAGAATAAATTTAAAAAAATCAAGTCTTGCACACAAGTTCAAACATACATCACGGGAATTCTCCTTTTCCTCTGTTTCGTTGCGACGTCCCTTCTTCTTCTTACGTTTAAGACGTAATTTTTCACGTTTGTGCTGTTTCGCTAATTCTTCCTTTGCAACTTGTTTGTAGAATAATTCCAATTGAGAGATACCTTGTTTCTTTTCAATCGCCGACTAACAAACCGAGATATTTATGTTCATTATAGAATAATCTATTATACGTAAATATAGGATTTCTAATATTATGTAGAGGATATTATTGTACAAAATCTTGTTACCTGAAAGTTCCTCGACAACGCATCCACTGCAACAGCAGCTAATACTTTGCAAACAGTTTCTTCCTCCTTCATTCGTCGATGAATTTTGTGCAGTCGGTCCGCGATACATATACCTAAGCACGTAAGTACTTCTTCTTGAGCAATTTCCAGCGTTTTCGCGTGGCGCTCTCTAAAATTCAGAAACATCTCTTATTACTCCTATAAAACATTTCATTCCAGAGAATGCATTTTTGAAAATACCTTCCCATAAGTGCCCATGGTTGTGCGCGACCGAGGAGAGTAGTCATATACTCGGTGATGGGCGGTAAATGAACGTGATGGTCGCGGTAGCAACGCTTAATTCCAGAATATAAAACTGCTACGTAACCTTTTTCTTTTATAGGTTCAGGTTCTCGTGTCAGAAGAGACGACGCCAATAGCACCTTGTTGCGACACTCGGCGCAAAACCTGATCATCAAAATTGTGTTATAAAACAATTAAAAGAATAATCTATGCGAAACTAGATACCTATGTTTACGCAGATAAGTATCTAAAGCTTCATCAAGCGTGTCGGTTTCTATTAAAGTCAATTCCTGCCGGCACGGTAACTCCATACAATCCCACACTTCCCTCCAAGAATTCCATATCGGTGGCAACCGCTGGATTTCCAAAGTATGCAGTACACATCGTTGAGATTTTCTATTTCTTTGTTGTTTTTCCATTAAATTATTTAACCTAGTGCTACAGAAATGTGAATAGTAAACGTAAAATGTGAGTAACTCTTCCACAAATGTGTCTGAATTGAGGTTCTCATGATCATTTGCATACCTGTGTCCATGCAACAACGTACAAAGCTGCTGGGGTGATTTCAAAACGTCATCTTTTATAGAAAGCACACCATCGGGAGTGATAACCAGTGGATCTAATGCAGGATGTCCTGACTTCATCAGATCAGTAAACAGTCTTTCAACACTGAACACAGAATATTTTACTGTTATTTAGGCCTGTTTTATTCCAACCATAGATTTATTTTTCACACAATTGAATCATATATGTTTTGCACATTTCTTTTCTTCATAAGATTAGGCATATATTAAGTAATTAGTTATAACACATACAATTTTTTAAAATACTCAACCTTATAAATACTTTGGAAAGATGTTAAGTATATTTAAAAATTAACCCTTGACTGACGTCGTGAAATAGACCCATACGACAATTAAAAGTTAATAATTTCTGTATATTTGTTAAAATGATAAAAATTATTTTGGGAATGATCCATCGTAGTAAAGAACTGGAAAAATCATTGTGTGCATTAACTGTATGATCTCGGTTCAATTTATTCTTCTCTTACCTTTTTCTAATTCTTAGAAAGAATAAGTTAAGATCAAAGTTAATCTACATTAGTGGGAACAAGTGTTAATAGTACAATAGTAACAATATCATTCCACTGAAAAGTTATTTTCAATTATTCTAATATAAGAGATAATCACCTTCTTCGACAGCCGACGCATGGTTCTGCGGCGCTCAAGATTTCAACTATCTTCTTACAAGTAACTGCAAAGGACGCCTTGATTTCTTCCATTGTGAGTAAAGCAAATTTCTTGGTGAACTCATCTAGTTGTTTACCATTGATCAAGGGATTATCACAGATGGCTTTCAAACCAGTTATATCCATAATCATCTAAAAAAACACAGTAACCAATTAATCCCATTGGAAATTGTAGGTCCACTAAGAAATCACATTGATGACAATTAGAGAAACGAGAAAGTAAAGTTAGTTTTTGCTCGACATGTTTTCCTCCAGCTAAGAACATTCACTCTAACGCAGTATAAAAAAATAAATAAATTATCTACAATATATAACGTTATCTATTTTATGCAGAGGGTTGATGATCGAATGAAGTACAAAAAGATCGCCTACAAGAATACACATACAACGTGTGACAAGTGTGAGAAAGATGATAATCGTCGGGTTACACTCGTTCTATCGCAGTCGGCAACGACATGTTCCCTTGACGTACTGACAACGTACGATCGCAGATTGATCGTGAAAACAAAAGAACTCCAGATTCTTCAGAATCGCGACCTAGCATGTACTCGTGTTTTTTTTTTCTCCCCCACCCCCTCTAACACCTGGCTGTAATGTTTTCGGTCAAAAGAGGTGTCCCGTACGGAGCGTGTGAATGTTCTGGAACGCTCTGTGGAGCGATATCGCCGTTGTGCTCCAGGAGTCGCGCCGGTTGACGGTCAGGGAAATTGGCGTCGCGGGCGTACGCGCGCGCGCGCGCGCGCTCACCGTCAGGTTCTCGTCGACGATCAGCGGCATTTGCTTGCTGGCCAGCTTCACTGGCTCGTCGTCTCGCCAAATATTGACTAGCTTCGCCATTGTCCGTCTGTGTCCGTTCGGGGGTTGTTCTTGATCCCGAGGTACCACGACTGTGTACCACGGATTCCTCGTTCGATCTCCCAAGGCGTTCGCCTGCTCGCCCGCACCGGCCCTCGCTACCTTTCCTGCGAATTAGGGGTCAGATCGACGTGACCTACGTGCACGCGACGCGACGAGCGGTTACGGGGAGGCTCCGTCCGCTTCCTCGCTGAACAACAGGAGACGATCACGAAGGTACGCGACGCGAAATAAAATGACGGTTTTATATCCAGGTATATTATCACGCACCGTCTGCCATTTGCAACGTACGGAGTCGCCGTCTATCGCTTCTCTACTTCCGCCCAGCGTACCGCCGTCCCTCTTCCCGCTGGTGACGACGTCAACGCGTCACCGTCTAGCGTTGCATCGCGCGCTTTCGCGAGTCTCATCTTCTTTCTATTTTCCTAATAACCATTTTTTTCTCATCACGGCTCGCGTCAGCTCGTCTTCCGTCTCGCGAATGCGACTCCCGAAATCTCCGCGAGAAAAACGTACGGGAAAGACTATCTCGAAGATCGAGAAACAATTAACGAACGTTCGAAATTTGAACGAACGCGTTAAATAAGAGGGGATTCTTCTGGATACATTTCGTATCGATCCGAAAGATTTTCTGCAGACTTTAACAAAATGCGTCACAGCTATCAAATCTTCATACGCACAGGCCTCCCATTTCAAGCGGCAAATACGAATCTAATTATTATAGATCTGTTCTTTTCATCTGAACTTCTTTTGCATGGTCCATTCTTTCCTCTTTTTCTTTCTATGTTGGAAAAAAAAGAAAACACGAACGATGCGGGATGCTGCAGCTGAAAAGAACAGACCTATTTTTATCAGGAAACATTTTATTTTTCCATTAATTATATATAACAGATAATATAAATGTATCGCGATTAATATCATTAATTAAAATTGCAATATTTATCACATTTTTTTTTCAATGTACAATTATTATAGTTTCATTTTATATCTATAATATACACAAAAGCGTTTATTAAACATTGTTGCATGTATTAAATAAATTACATTGAAATAACATATATAGCTAATTTTTAAGGGTTTTATAAAAAAAATTCTTCGATTCTATTTAAAGAAATGCAGGAACTTTTATATCGCAATTAAAAATAACAAATTGATAATAATCATATCGACTTGCAATAATAATTTCCTTTTTTTCCACAATTTTTATAAGTTTGAAATGCATTCAAAAGTTCGACGTTAAACTGTGGATGCCGTCCATTGCTAAAGTTCCCAAATCACTGATTCATCTACATTAATTCATCTACACTTCACGACTACACACTTTAAAGACTAGATGATTGCAGTACATATAATAGCCTAAGGATACACTTAAGCTGATTTTCTGCTTTCCGACAACCAGCACCAGTATCTATATGATTAGTATGAATTAACGAGAAAGCACACTCAGTAAACCTGTTATATTAAAGTAGAAAACTTATGGATGTTAATTGTCGGAAAGCAAAAAGTCTGCTTTTTCTTTGCGCTCAAGTACTGGCTGGAGCGCAGTCCCTCTCCTTGCTCCAAAAATGTTCGAGACTCGTGTAAACCTTCGGCACGGCGGGGTTGTAATGCAGTGCCTCGCATATGCGACAATAGTGCCTGGAGACGCTGCCGAAGTAGCCGTGCTCGTTGATCACTCGAAAATGATCGCGCCACTCGTGGTACTCGAGGTAACGCTCGTCGTCGCGGTCCAGATACCTGATGTAGTCAGCGAGCGCGTTCGCGTCCGCGAAATCGTCCACGTGGAGGAAGGAGCGCGGTGGCAACAATCGCCGACAGTCCTGCCGTGACGCTCCCATTATTATCGGAACCGCGAATTTGCGGTACGCGTTCCAGAACACCTTCTCCGTCAAGTACTCTCGGCAATTGGAGTTCTCGAGGGACAAGTAGAACTTGTATGATTCCAGAGCGGCGCAGTCCCTGTCGAAGTGGCCAGGACAGATGGTCCTGTTGCCGTCTAGGCATTTACCAATGACGTCCAGATCACCGTGAAGCGACAGCTTGAGGGCCTTCACGTAGGACCACCGTTCGTTACGACCACCACAGTTGCTGCCCATTATAACGACTAGTTTCGTCTTGGAGGTTCTCACATTAGTGTTCCAATGTTTGGCCGGAAAGTTTCCGGAGATTCGTATTGTTCTTCCATAGGGAACCGGCACATCGCTGTCCATTCGATATGACATGGACCAGTTGAACAGACCATCGTAGTTCGACAATCTTTGAGGGCCGTACAAAAACGTGTGGAAGGGCGACTCGTCCGTCAGGAAGATCCACCGTTGATCCATCCGGCTTCTCGTCGGTAATTCGGATGAATTTCTCGTGAAGTGTAAATGAAATACTACGGCGTCCGCTCGATGCAAATCCCTTTCGTCGTAACTTAGAATACAGTTTTGCACTGAACATTGATCCCACGGTGAAAACCTGCAGAAATATGTATGATTTTGTAAATCTCTGGCGATGCTTACTGTGAAAATAAAAGCGACTTCGACCAAATTGGATTAATTTATCTCGATTAGTATAGAATCACTTATTAAAATAAAATATCTAATATACGGTTCATAATTGTTTCTACTCTTCTTTCGATATATATACATATACAATATTAAACATAATTCTATTAATTTGTTTTATTCAAATTGTACTTAATAGTGTAAGTTAATTGGAGTTTGGTTAAAGTCACTCTGCTCATTTCTACCAATGTGTAGTTTAATATTTAAATCTTGATTCAATTAGCTTTTAATTTTTTTAATTTTCAGAATTAGGAAAACATAAAGAGAAAGTTGAACTGAAATTAATGGGCACGTTCAAGTTTTGATAAAGCGGCTAGCCTGCTCGCCGAGTAAATAAACATATAATTGATTATATTACTTATAGATCCAACCAATCATATTCAATCGCTCGGCAAGCGTACCTAGCCGTTTTGCTGTCTTAAACTCGCCCAATGTTAATCTACATTGATAGAAACAGGTATATGTCGCGTGGTCACAATTTTAGCGATACCATCTTTTTAGTCGAAGACTGATAATTCTTATCAATCTAGAACAAATTTTTATTGCATTGGAACAAAAAGTTTAAGCTTTAAGAATCTGTTTTGAATTATGGTTACGATGATTTTTAACGGAGTTATGAGTAATCGATCAACATGTTTTTGTTTTATTTAATTCGTACTTAATAACTCAGTAATAAAAGATCTTAGAAACGTTTTTAAAAAATTATTTTGTACAGAAAACTTTAAGCTTTTATACATTAAAAAGTAAAAAATATTTAGTCTTCGGGATAGTTTTTCTGAACACGTGACAGATTCACAAAATAAGAACATAGTTTCCCTTTTTTTGTCTAGTTCATTGTTTTTTTGCATGTAAACGTTATTGAACTCACAGAAACTTAAAAGACATATAATAAACTTTAGAAAATAAAGAATACCCTTTAAAATTTAAATTTCGTTTATTTTTAACGAAGTTACTATAACTGTTTAAATTTTGAAGTTTGTATAGTGCTATGAACTTTTGTTCTAAAATATTTTTAATATTTTCATTTAAAACATTTTTACTCAAATGTGCTACAGCATGAATAACAAACGTACTTATTGATAAGATAAAATTTGATAACTACAATTTTTAATTGATTAATTTTAAGTCTCTATACGTATCTTAAAAATTACTGTTCAAAACGACAAATGGTAAATATTTTTATAAGTTATTTTTTTCGGGATTTTCTTGTTGTAATATTTTCGTAAATTTCGGAATAACTTGTATATTGTTTCATAAATATGAACGTTTAACATTACCAGCTTGTATTACTTGAGTATCCTTGTTTAGTATTATTTTTGTCAAAAAATATATAATAGAGAATAAAAAATTTACTAACTTGATGGATGTAAAATGTCTGATGTGTCTGCGTTCCAGAAATTGTCCGTGCTTCCAAATCAGGATTAAATGAGGTTTATTGGTGGCGTTCGATCGAGGGGGTGGACTCCCTTCGGGTGCCAATAACCATTTCCCGAGAAGAGACATACTCTCTACCTGAAGGAAGCACAGCATAACACTTATTTAAGTTTTTCCTAATATAATAATGAATATATATTAAGTGTAAATAGATATTAATTGCTAAATGTTTTATCAACATTTCGCACTATAGTGGCGAACAAACGAAGCAATGTTAATCCTTCTTGTATAATTTCTATCTATCTATAATCAAGATAGACTCTACATAATATTCCTTCATGTACTTTTAACATAATCTTTTAAAAATTTGAGATAACTTCCAAATTCTAGAACAACAAATCACAATAACGTGAAAAAATGAACGTTAAAATGCATCATACTTGATTAAAAAATATACATTTTAGTAATCATTTTGGTATCATTTTGACGTCATTTTAATGTCATGATAATTTATGTTCTGCTTGAGTAGTTACAATTAGCAAATCTAATATTAATTTCCACAAAGTGCTTCAAATATAATTAGAAATTATTATTATATATATAGTGCTAGTTCTCATAATATTGAAATGAGAACGGAATTTGCCCGTAATAAGGATATAAGATTGAAAAATTATAAGGCGACACAACATTTTATACCTGTTCATCGGTGAAACCTCTTCCCAGGAGGTTCGCATCCAAAAAAGCTGTCCTCGCGAATTGCTGTCGCGCGTTAAGTAATTCTGTACCAGTGACAGACCTTCTATTTTCTTGTTTTTCCTCTCTTATGAACACCTGTTCTTTCCGCGATGCGGAAGATCTTCTGTAGGTGGTGAGAAAACCCGGAGATAGTAGTAATAGCGTGCAGAAAATCGCAGCTGTCGTACTGGTGAGCAGGACGAACGCGAGCCGCGATAACTTGAGCATAATGCTCGCCGCCGTTCATCCTATCCTGAGTGTGCGTTAAGCAACTACTGACCGGGACAAATTGAATTCTTAGGTCTTATTCGCGCGTCCAATGATGTCCTTCTTTGCGGTATTTTCGCGAAGATGTGGCGCGAAGCTAAATAGGACGGAGACAATTTAGTGATCTGTTGTATATTATATATATGATAACTTTACTAAACTGCCTAGTCCCTGTATTCTACTATTTGTAACTCGTTATATGCAATCACTATGTGTTCATAACTCGACAGTTTCAATATCTTAATTTGTCGTTTTTAAAACATAACAAGCGTTATCTTAGTACTTATAACGACAGTTGCTCAACTGTTTTACTATTTAAAATATCTGTGCAACTATTGTTATAAGCATATAAGAGTTACAGTATAAGCATATAATAATTCCATTATATTGATATAAAAATAGAAATTGGAGCGTAAGATGAATATAATAAGGTAAATGTACTATATTTATAGCAGACAATTAATAGCCATGATTTATTGGACCGAGTATTGGACAAAATGACGAAAACTTTCAAACATTAAGTTTTTAATAATATGTACGCCTCTAAATTCGTTATTTATAAAAATTTAATAAAACGAATTTATTTAGAGTCATACATATCGTGAAAGCTGAATATTAAAAATTTTTGTTATTTTAAACAATAATTAATTGTGTCGTGTTCATTAACTGGTACATTATTACCTTATAAGAAGAGGAGTAACAGAAGTGTAAATGCCTACTTTTACATTTCGTTGTTTCAATTTTCGCCTCTTAGAAACTTCGTTTACGCTTCTATTACTCTCTCTCTCCCCTTATATTTATATAATTTACACTCCAATTTTCTCTCTCTCTCTCTCTCTCTCTCTCTCTCTCTTATTTTTGCCCCAACATGGATTTTCAAGTGACATAAAAAAACTGCAATTAGTGCATTCAGAAAATAAGGAAGAAAAATGGAACTGCCGTTTCTTTTCTTTGAATGCATTTATTATATGCATTATTTCTATTTTTACTGAATAAAAGAAATTAAGGAAAAAATGTGACTGTTTTTTTGGATCAAGTTACTACAATATTAATTTTCATATTTGTCAGTTCTTTTCTTCTAACCTTTTTTTAAATTTTTTCAAATCGTTGTCTTTCATATTAATATCAATTTATCACACACTGAGCTACCTTTTATAAAATGCAAAGTTACAATTTATAAATCTAATTAAGCAGGTTCTCCAGGAAATCGCGTGTTCGTTTTTTTGACGTCGTGTGACGTTTACAAAGTTTTATATCCCAACATGGGCAGCATAGAAATTTTAACTCCCTCGCGCGTCTCGTCTCATTAACCTTTCACAAAGTAATCGTATGTAAACACCACCGTTAAATTCATTTAACGACAAATAGCGAACAGTGTAAGTCGTGTACAGTGAAATAAAACACTTATTAATTACGAAAATCGATCATGCCACAATAGTTCACAATCTTCAATCTGGGACGCAATAGAGGACAAACCACTTTATGCTGTATCGGCGAGGAGCGAAATGACGCGAGGCGCGCGAATGATAGAAAGCACAAGGAAAGTCGCGGGTGCACGACTCCCGGTGCAACAAGGATACACGCTGGCGCACGACTGACCGTTGATCCCGATTGTCTTGGTTAACCAAGCGTGACCGCCGTCCTCCAAGATCTTTCAAACGTCATTCACCGTCACCCGGGCCTACCGTGATTACCGTAGTATCAGCTGTAGCAGGAACAAGTAAACTCAAGTATGTGTGCCTCGCTTATCAGTCAGATAAAAGAGCTGATCGAATAAGTGTTTCGTGACAACCTGGAAGCTACGCTTGATCAGAAAGCTGGACGAAAGTGTCAAAAAAAAAAAAAAAGGTCTTGGATAGTTCGAGTCCGATTAAATATAATTTTACATAAAAGCTCTCATTTCTGACAGACTAGATGTACTATATTTAATCACTCTGGAAGTAAATACATTATTAAGTTTGGCAAATAATAATTACTTTCTTTTATTTTGTTTAAATTTTGAGTAATTTCTTCGATTTCTTGCTTCTTATATGCTCTTTTTATGATCTGCTATTTGTTTTTTAAATATACTGTTAATTGTTTTTATTACCGATCACTTAAGCTTAAGTTATATATTACATGGAAGGGGAATGCAGAAATAGAAGAAAAATTATTAGAATTGATATCTTTAATTATTCATTCAACCTTCTTGATCCGAGCCCACACACCTGAGAGTTGATTAGTTTTCGTTCGTAATACCTGCGTTCGTTCAATTGAATCTGTCATAATATTGCGATTTACGCGTTCATTTTACCGCACGGCATCGAGTGTCTTTTGTGATTATATTATGTGATTATAAAACTATATATCAATTGAACAACATGCGCGCAGTATGTATACGTGTTTTATTGTTTTCAAGTCGTTATTTTTAATGAGTGAGCATTATTATGGGTGGAGGTTTTTTTAATTCATCGATTGATCAATTGCATTATGCATATAAATGTAATTTTCTTCCGTAAAAGCTGCATTTGCGCATTATGCGATTATGACTAATCGATAAATTTATAAAACTCGTTTTATGTTGATTTTATATTGAAGCAGTGCAAACGCAATATTTATATTTCTACGGTTTTAATGTTTATAAAATTTAAACTATTTGTTTATTAATATTTACTTTTTATTTTATATAATCTTTTAAATCTTAATTTTATCCTAATTGCTAAACTTTATCGATCAATACATTAATCTTATCTAATATAATTCTTCATGGAGTAAATCACTATAATTTAATGTTCACTTACCGTATGCTTTTATAGTACTTTATTCTTACAATAATGTTACATAAGTAATTTTTGCTATAGATCGAAGTATAAAAAATATAATACAAAAAAATGTATAAATTTAAAACAGTATTTTAAAAACTTTTGCATTGTTATTATTTTACAAGTAAAATGTGAATGCTTACATATTGTATTTTACTTCATTTTGCAGAAAATAATTATAATATTAACTTAGGTTAATATATATTTTAGTTTAGTCCTAATTTTATTTAGGTTCATATTTCGATTGTATAACAAATTTTTCAAGCATATTATTTCGCTACAAGATAAAGGATTTTTAAACAGTAAAAACTCATCTTTTATAATAATAACAGCGATCAATTATAATGACAGATCTCTCTCTGGCCGGTAATACAGAATTCTGTAATCTAACATGGTAGATCATCGTAGATCACCGGAAATCGGAGTAACCCACCCACGCTGAAATCCACGAGCGTTTGTAAACAACGTAATTATGTTTTCCAAATATTTTTGGCTGTCGCTGTTATTAGCGATCGTATATTTCTTATATTCGCGCGGTTTTTATGAGAAGATCAAATCTCAATTGATGGAAGGAACATTAAATTTAGCTGACACGATATATTTTGGATTAAATGAAAACTCTAGCGGGCCAAAGATGTTTACTATAAGCGAATTGAAACAATATACAAATCTGGAGAACGGTTTGTATCTTTCGATCTTGGGCCAAGTTTTCGATGTAACTAAAGGGGAAAAACATTACGGACTTGGAGGAAGTTACCATGCTTTCACTGGTAATTAGGTTCATTATGTCACATATATAGTGGATACAGATATATATATATATATATACATATATATAATTAATTTTGTTTATTTGTGTAGGTCGTGATGCTTCCTTGGCATTTATTACTGGAGAATTTGATGATCAAGGTTTAACGGATGACATATCTAATTTATCGTTGCGACAAGTTAAAACATTAGACGATTGGGTAGAATTTTATAAAGCAAATTATATTTATAAAGGTACAATTACTTATAAACCACGGAACATAGGAGCAGTTGATCCATCTCAGAATAATCTCTTTATTCTAAAAGCTAAAAAGATTTTGTAATATTTTGTCAATCTGCTCAACAAAGAGGAAAGGTATATTTTAATTTCCTTTTACTGTAAAAAAGATATTTTGTAGACATTGCATGAGGTGGATCAACTCACACGTGGTATTTTCTAACATATTTTATATTTTCTTTAGGAAAATTATATGGCAGATACTACAATCAAGATGGTAGTCCAACTGCAGAATTTTATAAGATACAAAAAAAGCTATTACTTTTTAAAAAGGAAAAAGCATTGGAGGAAGCACAGGACAGAATGTTCCCACCTTGTAATGTAGAATGGAATCTAGATACTGGTACTGTATTCTGGTGTACTAACAAAAGGTAGGAACTTATTTGATAGACATTGTTTTATAAAGGAAATTAAAGGAACATAATAAATCTTTTAATATATGTAGTCATACGATTTATTTTTAACAGCGGTGGAATTGATAGAGATTGGGTGGGAGTACCAAGAATGTTTTTCGAGACTGCACAAGATTCATCCAGATGTACTTGTGTTAAACTAGATAGTAAAGAATACGAAGAGAATAAAGCTAGATTTAAAGAATACGATGACTGTGATAAGTATGCGACGAAATGCGTTTTGAGGATGAATAAGACGTGATGTGAGGAAATATTTTACAGTGCCTTTATCTACCGAATTTCAGATATTTTCAAATTTTATATTTATACAATATCACAATGCGAAAATACATAATTTAATATGTTAACTTTATGCAATTTTTCATATTTTTTAAATACAATTCTGTATTCATTACAATTAGCGCCTTTTATAAGAGTACAAATAAACACAAAGTTTAACTTAATAATACTAGATAAGAAATACATCGCCAATATACTTATCTTAGAATAAATGCAATTTATAAGCTTCGATTTAATACATGTGATAATTATATAATATACATAATGAAATATATTATTAGAAAAAGATTGAAATTCGTCCCTAAAACAATGAAGTTTTGTATTCAAATTTTTAAATAATCAGTCTTTGTTTTCATTCTTAATATTGAAAAAATAATGTAATTAAACATAATGTAATTAACAATGCAATTATAAAAAATTGTTTATATTACGCACTTTACAGAAGTTTATATCACAAATTACACAGAATTTAATATATTTATGAAAAATGTATATTTCCATTGTTACTTGATAATATAAATGTATATAAGTTTTGAATTAAATCTAAACTGAAACACAATATATGGTATGAGGTATGCCGAAGGCTTCGACATCCTCATTAGCAGCTTGAATTAGGATTTCAGAAACAAGAAGATAAGTATACTAATTTAGAACGTGTCAAAATAAACTAATTTGTTATCATAATTCAATGTGGATGCATTGAGGAAGTACTAGTCTTAGGCCCAATTGTACCAACATTACTTAATTTTAAGCGAGACTTAAAACTCTTATCTATCTCGTATTAGCCGAAAGAGAGACATAGACAGTTTAAGTCTCGCTTAAAATCGAAATCACGTTGCAACAAGCTTTAAAGAAATAAAAGGTACATTACTGTTTCTTATAATATGATATATATTGCTGTTAATATAAGTGAGATAATTCTTAAACATGTAAGTAGAAATATAATTATCACACATTATGGTCCTTGTATCCTTATAGTTCAGAACATACAAATTTATGATGCGAGAACCGGGTAAATACCTTCTCCCTCCACACAGAAAATTCTATATAGTATAACTTTCTTAGTATAGATGGAAATGTAAATTTCTCCATCTAATTATTATCTTTATCAAATAATGTTACAAAATAATTCTGATACAATTCACAAAATCTTGAAGTATATATAGCGTGTTATTCTTCAGTTCTTAAAAAAAAAAAGAATGGCATTTAAATGTCATCAAGGAATCTAGTATCATTTGAGTTCACTGTCAATTTTTATTGGTGAATTCTCTCTAATGGTATTTAATTTATCTATAAGAGCCTGCATCGAACCACATCTCTTATATCTAACCTTAGATCCAAAGACTCTTTGTATCTTTGCATGTCTTTTTTTCAGCTTAGAAGCTGTAGGAGCAAACATCAACATTCTCTTAAATCTCTTTGCACTCATACGTATTGCAGTATCGTCTTCTGAATTTTGGGTTTCTTCAAATATTGTTTCAAGGTTATTTGATTTCTTTTTTACCTTTTTGTTTAAATAATATTCTTTGACAATTTCTTCCTCTGTCTCCACCTCGTAGATCCTTCTTTTTTTTGGTCTCAGGCTACACCTTATTTTTATACAAAGTATTATTTTAGACACACATAAAAACATATCAATCTAATATAAAATTATCTTCAAAACTAAGCAATTTGTGAGTTATATGTCTCTTTATGTCTTGATACATTATTAAATGCTTTGTTTCATGAACATTTCATCAGGGTGTGAAACAATTTGAAGGTTAATTGTCTATTTTGAAACAAGATGAAAATTATAAAGATAAATAAATTTACAAAGTGGTTAATTAAATTATAAATGTTGTAAATTTGTTTAGTTTTATAATTGTTTAGTTTTATAATTTTCATATTGTTTCAAGATATGTAATTGATTCTCAGATATATGACAAAATATCAATCATCATGATAAAGAACTACAATGTTTATAAAACAGATATCTAATGATATTAGAGAGATAACTCACAACTTTAAAATAAAAATATCTATGGAAGCTTCAAGTATTATAAAATTTAGTACCTTCGATTAAGGATTTCTGTAGAATCTGTTTCTATAACAGACTTAGGCATCCTTTTTCTAAGAACTCTCTTGGTTTCTGTAGGTGGAGAGTTAATGTCTATACTGAGCATCTCTAAATCAGCTGTTATCACAGGTACATTAGTATTGTCTAAATTATCTATGGAGGTTCTGAAAAATGGAGCAACTTTTAATTATTCTTAACAAAATAATTTTTATTGTTTTTAAAGCTTGATATTATATATTTCAATATTTGCAATTAGAACAGTGATAATTTTTATAATTGTCAAGAAAATCAAAAGAACGAAATTGTAAAAATGTTTATACAGGATCGTTTCGTCGAGCCTTTCTTTGAAACTTACGGATTTTCTGTTTGCTTCTCGTCCATTTCGTGCTACAGGAACCTCATAAAATTCTTATCAAAGAATGTCAAATTTCTCGATGTCTTGCGTGAACTTCCTTTATTTATGAAATATACGCGTCTTCCATTTTCAATTGAAGTTACCATAAAATGTAACAAAGACTAGATGAACGTCCGTAAAATTTGTAGAAAATAGAGATAGAACGTACGTTTGGAGAAGGTATACTTTCACACGGAATGCATATAGAACGCTAAACGAAGAATATTGTCTTGAAGCGATTAAATGGCACTTATTCTACTCTTTTACGCTTGAGAAAGAGAGAAATGCTAAATTGCTAACTCTGTTCTCTTGGGGCTGAAATTGATCTTTCAGTTTTTCTTTTTACCTCTCATGTAGGTGTAATTCTATCACTTTCGAGTGTTGAAAGTGCAACTATGGTAACTGCAAAGAACAGATGTCGACATGAATTGCGTGGTGGTCATTATTAGTATTCCTCTTCGACTACATCTTTTTCCACATCGATAATAAGATTTCATCAGTAGCCTATCTTACCGATCGTATCGCAGTAAACTAGTAAAGCCGCGGTCGACCGACAGGTGTAGGAATCATCTTCGATCTTACATTCACATACATTTATGATATTGTATGATACTCGCAGTATCTTAAAATAAAGCGGATACAGGCAATTATAAGGTGAGCACAAAGATGTTATAGCAAACAAAAAAATGTAAAAACTCGAGCGATAATTTGAGTCTACTTGCACTCAAACTCGTCCAGGGATAAAAGTTAAAGAAACGAGGTTATTCAAGTATCCTGTGTCTGTGATGTAACAGCCTCGCCAATGTCACTAATGTTAAAAGAAATGTATTTCTTTCTGTAAAAAAAAAATCAATCCTTTTCAGTGTGCCAAAATGTCCAATCTCACTCGCACTTTGCGTCCTTTCCTGAGGTGCGTCCGCAGTCAGAGAAGAACCTATGCAGACGCTGCAGCCGATAATCAAATGAAATTTACATTTGCTGGTGCTAATCAAGTATGTTGAAATAAAAAATGTACAGAGTAAAATAAAGTATAAAAACGATTTTCAGCAAGAAATTGTGTAACACAGTGAATCACTTTGATTTTAATATTAACAACTAAGATATTTTCATTGTTATACGGTGATGACTGGCTTTTACTAGAAAACATCCATAGTCATAATTATGCAACGTTTATGTTCTTTCTTGGTCACTAGGTATTTTATGATCAAGCTGTAATTCGACAAGTCGATGTACCCTCCTTCTCAGGTTCCTTTGGTATTCTACCAAAACATGTGCCTACACTAGCAGTCTTGAAGCCTGGTGTAGTTACAGTTTATGAACAGGATGGTTCGTCCAAGAAGATTTTTGTTTCTTCTGGTACGATTACCATTAATGAAGATAGCAGTGTACAGGTATATATATAAAAATATCTTTCAGTGTAAAAGTTTTTCCATTGAATTCTATAATAGCTTTTCAATCTTTTATAGATTCTAGCAGAGGAAGCCCATCCAGTAGAAAACCTTGATAATTCGGCAGCAAGAGATGTTCTCAGTAAAGCTCAGCAACAGCTTTCTTCAGCAACGTCAGATGTAGATAAGGCTGAAGCAGGTATTGCAGTTGAAGTCGCAGAAGCACTTGTGCAAGCTACACAATAAATGTTATAATGTGAAATTATACACACACACACACACACATATATATATATATATATATATATATATACTTCAACACACCATCAGTTAGAAAAAGGCATGTGTTCAACACATTCTTATCATAATATTGTTGTATGATAGTGTAACAACAATAAAAATGTGTTAAATTATGTATATTTATTAAATCATTGTATCAAATTTTATTTAATATTAAAATTAATGTAAATGCAAAAAGAAGGTAAAGGACAGTTATTATAGATTCTTTATTGAGTTAGTTTTTATATTTGTTCATTAACAACATAATAAATATGCTGCTATTTACAAGCTATTTAGGTACATTGATTTTATTGCAAGTACTTATAACAGCCATAAAAATTTTCACGCTAAAATTGTTAAAAATTAACATTTCTCCAATCTCTCTATTCATTATAATAATGTAACATATAACACTAAACTCTAGTCAAAACTTAAAACTTTAGTAACGTTATAGGAATAACGTTACAAATACTTTGGATATTTATAAGTATTTGGCATTCCCCAATTAATTAAGGAAATATCAAGTTCTTTTTTTTAGTAAATTTGCACTAGCAAAATTAAGCTTTTGCTTATACAGATATCGTGTACATATAAACAATAATAATGTAGAATATTCTTAAGGTTAACGCTATGATTTGGGAACATACACACATAGACACGCACACACATTCAAAAGTTAAATAAATAACATTCTTAAACATACAACTATTATTACATCATTTTTATATTTACCATAAATAAAAATTAGAAAAAAGGTAACGTTAATATGCTGTGTATATTTCCAACGCTCTTAAATTTGTGACAATTTCTTCAACAATATATATTTAATTACTATAATCCGACCGTACAAGAGAAACAGCATATTTGTTTCAGATATCAAAAAATATACTAGTAGCTATCCATTCTTACGTTGCACAAAAAATTATCAAACTGCATATATTTATAAAACATTTGTTTATGTCAAATTAACTTATTTATATACAAACAATTGCATATTCTGTTGTAATTGTTCCTTGTTTTTACTATGTTATCAATTGTTAATTTTTTTTTAAGTTAACATTTGTGAACAATTATTTTGAAATTGTGTATTATAATTATGCAACAGTAATTTTGTATGTATAAACACTTTTGTAAAAAGTCTACAAATATTTGGCACAAAATAATATGTAGAATCTGTTAACAGATTCTGTTAGATATAGCACATATATGTACAGTCGCATATTCTCAATTTGTCTAAATAAAATATTCAAAAGGCAAAAGTTGCCTATATTTAAAGCTATCAGGTGTAAAATCACAAATCTTTTGGGGGATTAGCATTAGAGATACAGCATTATTTTTTTTGCGTGACTAGTTAAAATTAGTAAAGAATATTCGCAAATCATTGATTCCTTGCTACTTGACATTTCATCAAAGATGGTAACAACTTTTCCCTACAACATGCAGTTGTAGTATTGCTAGTGTTCTTACAACAGTTGCTAAATATTTTCTGTAGCTGCTGTAGTGTCTTTAGACAGATTACAACACAGCAAGAATCACAACCACCAGACTCGGCGTTGCAGGAACATTTACCTTGCAAAGAAGACACAAAATCATTTACGAGTTGTACTGTATTTTTTCTCGTTATTTCGCCGACCGGGGTATTCGTGCAACTCTGACAATTTTGTACGTTATCGCATTTACAATCAGTACATTTACATATGTCAGCATCTGCAGTAATCTCCTGCAGAACATTTCTATCCTTATTTTTTACGTTACCTATTTTATGCTCATATTCTGCAAGTTTTTGGCTCTGTACAATATCGATGTTTGCCGAAGTGTGTTCCGTATTCATAGCATTAACATTTTTTAAATTTTCCGTAGATGTCTCCATTTCTAGTGGATAAGGCTCTGGGCCTACTAGATCTACTAGAGAATGAACTGTAGGAAAAGCATTTAGTTCTGACCAAGATTGTGCTCTCAATGCAGGCGCAGTTGCTAATGCCATCACATCTATCCAAGAAGAAGGTAATTCTTCTTCGGTTGCTATCGCAAGTTCAACGGCTTCAGACTGACTGTTTATAACCGCATTTGCATGCAAATTCTGATTTGAAACTGCGATAAGAGACTCATTCTGTAAATTTGTATCATCGATAAATGAAAGAGTATCCATTTCGCTCTCGAAAAGGTGGGTTTCGTTCGAGGAACTTATAATATCAGTAATATGACTAGTAATGCAATTGGCACTATATAACGCATTGCTGTTGTCAGATAAATCTTCTGTATTTGATTGATTTACGAATACTTCATCAGAAGCAGTAACAGAATTATTTTTAAACGGTTTTATATTATTCGTGAAACTTGTTTCCTCAGAAATATGTGCTATTGCATTTTGTAAACCATCCTGCATAATCTTCTGCTCTAAATTTATCGGGATAGGTTGATCCTGTCTAGCTGTACTGTCATTGTGCACTTCCGGTGACGAAGCTGACTTGTGCAGGTGATTCTGATGCCCAACAACATCCATTAAATTATCATGTTGTACGTTTGATTCAGTCATTTGATTAAATACTTTAAATTTGTGATAATCCTCATTATTGTTAAAAACTGCTTGTTCGTTAAAATTATCTAAAATATCTGTTGAAAGAAGTGCAACTTCGGTAGTTTTATTCGAATCTTCTCTGTCTTTGGTAGAAATATAACCGAGTTTTACATCCAACTTGCGATGCATCATAATATCCATTACATTAGTAGGAGTTGCTTGTTCCGCTGCACTTTTTGCGGACACATATGGCATGTTTCCATCATTTTGCATGAGATTTGTAGATATTGGTATGACAGCATACGATGGTATAGTAGTGTTGCTTGCGCTAACTTTTACAAGTTTCAATTGTAATTGAGTTAACCTTTTTTGCCTCTCAGCCACGTCATCATCCTTATTATCTTTATGCTTCTGTTATAAATAATTAAAATTTAATTTGATTAATATGAAACATATTAATATTGTTAATATTTCTATTGTTAATACTTACCATATTGTTATTCATAGTTTTGTTATGTGTTTTTATGTGGCTTTTTAAACTGTGAGGAGTAGTAAAACGTCGTTTGCAGTTTTCAAAGGTACAAATATATGGCCGTTCGCCTGTATGTGTCCTTTTATGCGTTTTTAAATGATGTGAAGCCGTAAAAGCTTTTCCGCAACCCTTTTCTCTGCATCTTAAAATAAATGAGAAATGATAATCTTAAATATTAATAGATATCCAATATGTAACAACTTTTAGAAATTAGCTAAGTTTTATGATGTATTTTTTATTTATTTATTGTGTTGAAATAGTAATTTGTAATGTCTTTTCTTTATATTACAGGAAGTACCGAAAAACATACTTGTACGGTCTTTCTTGAGTATGAGTACGTATATGTTTCTTGAGATCGCTTAGAGTAGTAAAGAATTTAACACATCCAGTCTCTTCGCAGTTGAATGTATTGCCACTGTGAAGTCTTTGGTGAGCTCTCAGTCTGTAAAGGGTATTGAACGCTTTCTCGCAGCCTTTATGATTACATTCGAACGGTTTTACTTTTGTGTGTACCCTAATGTGGATCTTTAGACTGTAGGACGTGAGAAAGGCCTTGCCGCAACTCGGCTCTGCGCATTTAAATCGATACTCGCCTGAAAGTTTTGAGAATTCCCTCCACATAAAAAGATTGCAGGTCTATTTATCTCTTGCAGTATCTGAAAGCCATGCAGGTCAAAGCGTTCCCTTTATACCAGCATTGATGAATTAATAATATCAGTTGCAAAGCAAAATTATATTTATAAATATAGATCTTTTTGCTAACATCGTTACAAGGAAATACGGTTGTGAAACTTACCTTGATTCTTTTATCCATGAAATATGCAAAAATAAAAGCACATATAAATTTGTTAGTATAACAGATTGAACAAACTGCATATTGGAGAAGTACAAAATGCAAAGCATGATTTTTTTAATGATATAGGTCAGACAATTATAGATGAGGTAACATACACAATGGTATAATGAAAATTCAATGCCAAGATGAATATTCTAAATTAGATAAAAGATCTTAAAGATATTAAACTACAAAGTATGCCAACAGTAATTATATATTTATGATCGTTTTTACTATATCAAGTTATACTTTTTACTTATATGTTAGGAATTGGCTTATGTTAGAGACATTGCCTGTCATAAAAAATTCTCTATTCTAATTTTATCACATTTATATTATTAAAAATCTTGTAAATTATATTTTTATTTTTAATAAAAAAATGTTTTTAGAAATTTACCTTTGTGTGTTTTCATATGGGTACGCAAATTTCCAATGGTACTATATGTCCTGGTACAGCCTTCGTATTGGCAATTATAACGATTAGTATGTTTCTGATTAATATCCGGATCCATACTTTCAATTGTGACAGTTTCGTGAGAGGTTGCATGATCATCAAGTATTGCATCATCTTGACCTTGATGAATTCGCATATAAATTTCATCTGGACTGATGGTATGATGAATATGCCTGTAAACGTAAATACATATTTTCAATATAAATGTATATCATAGATATGTATGTGTATATATTATATACATGTATATTTTCTGAGACTTTAAAATTGCATTGATATACAAAATAACAAGTATCCGCAAGTGCCAATTTATTACATATTTTGCTAGTAGGTTAAGTATATAATAGAATAGTATGAGTAATACATTTGCTATACATAGATATCAAAATCAAATTTGTTACAAATATGTGATTTCAATGCAACAAGAAAATTCAATTGTGTTAAATTATTAATAGTATTATAAAAAATATATATATATATATATATATAATATATAAATAATTTTTATAATAAAAGTAATAATCATAAAATATAAAAAATAATAATAAATCATACATAACTACTTCTAGTTCATTGCCTGTTCCAAGAATACAAATTGTTAATAAATAAAATAAAACAATGCGCTCCATACCGTCGTTATTAATGCGTAACAATATATATGTAAAATATGTTTTGAAATTATTATGTTGCAGCCAAAATTTAAAACATCCTAAAACACACATTGACGAT